CAAGGCGTCTACAAAGTGATCCCTCAGCAACAACTTGAGGAGATCAGGTGGCACAGTTGGGTAGGCCTTGTATGCCATACTTTCCAAATCCTGTGCCAGCTCTTGCAGGCTCTCCCCTTTTGCACGGGTTCTAGTCCTAAATCTAGCCCTGTAGACTTCAGACTAATTTTGAGTTCCATACCTCAGTTCTAGAGCAGCTACCAGTGCTCTATAGTTGTGCCTGTCATCTGCTGACAAGTGTCCAAGTATTTCCAGTGGTTGTCCATTCAGGCTCGTTGCGAGGTATACTGCTTTCTGCTCCTCTGTCTATCCATTCATTTCTGCCAGGAGCTCAAATTGTGCTCTATATGCATTCCCATCGAATTCCTGTGGCTTCCTTCGTACTAGATCACCCCTATTGCTAACACTCATGTCTGGAATGTGACTCCTGACATGACTGAAGATGTCTGCATTAGGGTTTAGCTGCGGAGTCTGGAAGGGGCTTCCCATTGTCTGAGGCTGATTAGGTCCATGGCTAATATATCCTCCTTCTGTAAAAGACAGTAAATCATCCTTTAATGTATTTAATTCACTTTGAAATTTACTAATGTTTTCCATTTGTACTTCTCGCCACTGTTGTTGACTTTCCTGTAGCTGCTGCTGACTTTCCTGCAACTGTTGGAGACTTTCTTCCTGTTTCCTCTCTTGTTCCAGTTGCCACTGCTGTAATCTCTTATCTTGTTTATTTTCTTTCTCCTCTAACCACTGCTGTAGTCTCTCTTGTTTATTTTGCTGTTCGAGCTGCCATTGTTGCAGCTTTTCTTGCCATTGCTGTTGTCTCTCTTCTTGTTTCTTTTCTTTTTCCTCCAACAACTGCTGTAATCTGTCTTCTTGTTTTTTTCCTCCAACAACTGCTGTAATCTCTCATCTTGTTTCTTTTCTCGTTCTTCTTTTTTCTTTTCTTTTTCCTCCAACAACTGCTGTAATCTCTCTTCTTGTTTCTTTTCTCGTTCTTCTTGTTTCTTTTCTCTTTCCTCCAACAAACTGC